ATAAAATATATTATATTTTATCCATAATATTTAAAAATAAATAAATAATCAAATATTAAAATAATTTTCAATTACAGTTACAATAAAGCACAATTTAGCACAAATATAATCACAACTACAAATACAATCACAACACTTCACAATAATTTCAAATGCATCATTAATCTCATAACCATAAAATGTTGTATGAGTAAAGTTGTTTTTTTAAACATTTTATTTGACCTAATTTGAATTATATTACCTCACCACAATTTCAAACGCATAATTTATCTCATGACCATTGAGAAATGTTGTCCGAGTAAAGTTGTTTTTTTAAACATTTTATTCGATCTAATTTCAACTTTGAATGGTAAACGTTGTTTGGACTGGCTAGGAAGAATATGCCCTTAAATCTTGCCGTGTAATAGAGGTCTTTAGAAGCGATTGTAATTATACTTTAATGTACTTTTTTTTTCTATCTGTTTATTTTGGATACTGATTGATGATTTTATAATTGACCAAATTAAAGGTCATTAATTAGACTCACTTAATTCCGTGTTATCCATATTCATATGTTCTTTCTTTAGACCCTTGTTATCATCAGCATCATTAGACATGCTCATGCTCATGGATAATTGATGTGGAATTATGAGCCTTTTCTTTGTAATTCAAGATACGAATATCATAATTTTATTCTTCTTTAATTAGCTCAGTGGCCAGTGGGTGGCTTTTTCATTGATGTGCAATTTCAATGAACGTGTGGAGTGTGAGAGAATTTTAAGTGGCAATTGCTGTCTTTCTACATCATCACTAAGAGACAAACGCATAAAAATGGTCTTGCATCACTTGACATTATGAAATTATGATAAAATTGAATTTGAAAAGAAAAGTTAGGATTTTCTCATAAGACAAAAACAGACGCATGAAAGAAATTTTCTTTTTGGAGTGTTGCAAAAATCAATTCACAAATGTACGTAAAAAACTACCCTTTAAAAGGATGCATTAAAAATAAAGAAAAAAAAACACTATTCTAGAAAGGCTAAGCACATGAACTGATGAACAAGCCTTGCTTGAATGTAGTAGGGATAAATATATAGGTCTTTTTCATAGGAGGTTTCTGAGAAACTTTCAATGGTGGGCTGGTCAGAGATACAGCTTATCCCATGACAAAAGTGTTAATTATGGTTTCATCTTCTATCTCTTCCCCTCCCCCCCC